AAAACAAGGTCAACAATTTAGATGAAGTAGACAAATTCTTAGAACTATACAGTCACCCAAAGCTGAACAAAGAAGAAATAGAAAACTTAAACATATTATAAGCAATGGAATTTAAACAGTAATCAAAACCCTCCCCCAAAATAAAAACCCAGGGACAGATGCTTTCAAAAATGAGTTCAACCAAGCATTCAAAGATGAACTAACACCTGTTTTACAAAAACATTTTCTAAAAATTGAGAAAGGAAAATTACCAAATTCATTTTACAAGGCCAACATTACAATAATACAAACACCAAACACACACAAAAAAGAATGATAGACCAATTTCCCTAATGAACAGATGCAAAAATCCTCAATAAAATCTTAGCAAACTGAATCCAACAATGCATATGAGGGATTATACACCACAACCAATTGTGATTTATCCCAGGGATACAAGGATGGCTCAACATCTAAAAATCACACATCAATAATAAGATAAATAAAAACCATATGATCATATTAATTGATGCTGAAAAAGCATTTGATAAAGCCCTACTTCCATTTACGGTGAAGACCATCAAAAAAGGTGGGATAAAAGATACTAGGTTATGTTGTTATATATATCTCACTTAGCCAGTAAAATAAGCCAGAAGGGGAAAAACAAAACAAAACAAAAACAATGGTTTCACTGACAGGAGGAATATAGGGGAACCAAATAAGGAATCGGGAATTTTTTTTTTTTTAAATTAGCAGGCAACTATAAATCAGACATTCTACAGGGTGCGGGGAGAAATCAAAACAGGACAGAAGAGTACAAGAGATTATAGGGGTGGTTCACAGGTGAATTGGTGGTGGGAATTTTATAAGTATTATACCTGAAAGGAATAAGCATGTAAGTATATGTTGTTCAAAAATGAACAATGATGTAATATGGATACACACACACACACACACATATATGTATGTATACACACACATAAATTTAAAAAATACTTGGGATAAAAGGGGTATATTTTAACATAATAAAGGCTGTATATGACTCACAACTAACATTTGTCATGATGAGAAACTGAAAACCTTAAGATCTGGAACAAGACAAGGATATCCGCTCTTATCACTGCCTTTCAATATAGTACTATAAGCCCTAGTTAGGGCAATTAGGTAGGTAAGAGAAAAACATAAAAGTAATACAAATAGGGAAAGAAGTGAAACTATCATTATATATTGACAATAAAGTAATATATAGAGTGAATCCTAAAAAAATCCAGAGAAACTAATTAAAACAATAAACTAGTTCAGTAAAATAGCAGGTTACAAAGGCATTACACAAAAATCAGTAGTCTTCCTATATCTAAACAGTCTTAAGAAGAAGAAATTAAGAAAACCATCCTACTTAAAACTGTACCCCCTGAAACTAACTTGGGAATAAACCTAACAAAGGGCATGAAAAATGTCTATAGGAAAATGACCATCCTACCAAAAACAATTTACAGATTCATTGCAATTCCAATAATAATCTCAATGACATTCTTCAAGGAAATATAATAAATATTGATGAAATTTAAATGAAACGCACACACACACACAAATACGAAGAAGCAAAAAAAAAAAAAAAAAAAACAGCCAAAGAAGAATGGAGGCAATACACTCCCTGACCTCAAACAATACTACAAAGCTATTACAATAAAAACAGCATGGTACTGGAACAAAAACAGGTACATAGAAAAATGGAATAAAATTGAAAACCCAGAAGTAAAACGACACATTTCTGGTCAACTAATCTACAACAATGGGACAAAGAATATACATTAGAACAAGGAAAGCATCTTCGATAGATGGTGTTGGGAAAACTAGACTAACTGGACTGCAACATGTGAGAAAATGAAACTAGACTTATCTCATACCATATATAAAAATCAACTCAAAATGGACAAAAGACTTGAATGTAAGACCTAGCACTACAAAAATATATAGAAGAAAACATTGACAAAACAGTATGACAGAAACCTCAAACATTTTTGAAGATTCTTCTCCAGAAGCAAGGAAAACAAAGGGAAAAATTAACAACTGGGACTACATCAACTGGGACTACTACTACTACTAAAAAGCTTCTGTACAGCAAAAGAGACAATGAATGGGAGAAAATATACACCATATAACAGATAAGGGAGAAAATATACAACATATGACAGATAAGGGACTGATACATCAGAGTTGTACAGATAACAAAAGCAAACAACCCAGTTTAAAAATTGGGCAAAAGAAATAAAAAGACACTTCTGTAAAGAAGGTCAATGCACATATGAAAAAAAGTTCAGCTTCACTGGTTATCAGGGAAATGCAAATCAAAACCACAGTGAGATACCTACTCCAGCATTAAAAAAATGAAAACAACAAATGCTGGCAAGAATGTGGAAATAAAGGAGCCCTTTTCCACTGCTGGTGGGAATGTAAGATGGTCCAGCTACTTTGGAAAGTATGTGGAGGGTCCTTAAACTACTAATGGGTCTATCATATTACCCAGCAATTTCATTCCTAGGAATCTACCCAAGGATACAAAAAACATTTAATTCAAAAGGAAACCTGTATTCCTATGTTTATTGCCATACTGTTTATAAGAGGTAATATATGGGAACAATCTAAGTAGATGAATCAAAATTTTAATAAAAAATATAATTTACACAGACAATTTTCTGAGGTACATTTCCACATGCCACTTTGTCTATAATAGGTAATTCAATAATGTGCACAAACCAGACAAACAAAAAATAAGACATACAGTTGCTCCAGAAAAAGTTGGGTATGCCTGTTTACAATCCACAGACCAGAATTGTGTTGATTGCTGAGATTTATTCCCTGTAAATTAGCTGTAGTTAAAATATTTAATTACCAGAGGCAACCATAAATCATTATGTTCTTGATCTTGTGATTACTGTATAGGCTATTTAATAGGTATTAAAAAGCATAATAACATTTTTAAAAATTTATTTATGCATAAAGAAAGGGGTACTGGCCAGAGGTGCAGGGGTGGTGAGAAGGTGTACCAGAGACAGAGTGGGGAGCAGAACAAGCAGATGGACAAAGTACACTGCTGAGGGGAATAGTGGGGAGGTCAGGAAAGGTCTGCTGCGCCATATGGGTCACCTCCGGGACAGGGATCCAGCTCATGCTAAGTGGCTTTAGCTTTTTAGTGCTGTGCTTTAACCCGCTGTGCCACCAGGGAGGGCCAACATAGTAATACTTTTAATAAGGAGAAATGTTTAAATTCCACAGAAAATGTCCTACAAGCTTTCAGTTCCATATGCCACCATCATAGTCTATTTAATTGTAATAGTACAGTGATTTCAGTTGTTGTTTAAAAAATACACACACACACACACACACATATACACTTCCACAGTAAATCCAATAATTTGAATATAATTTCTTATATATATTCATAGAAGCTAAAAATATGTAAGATGATGAAATATGTTACTGATTTTAACAAAAAAGCAAAACATAAATTAGATGTTTTTCCCTCCAAACTCTTTACCTCAGCTACTTGTGTGGACATAACTAAATATTCTGGAAATACCCTTTAAGGTTTGCCTATTTGAATACATTCATTGGTGCCAGTCTTAATTGCTTGTGAGGTATATGTTTTATTTAGTTCTCCTGACTCATCGGGACAATGTCGTTCTTTCACGCAAATCAACAAAACATCAGAGAGATACAGGTACTTGCCTACAAGCACATAAAAACCAGTAATGGTCTCGAGTTAGTTCAGAATTTGGTCTGGTTTGAAAGGGAAGACTTAAAGTTTACTTTTATATCACAGTCAAAAGGATTTGTTTATTGACCAGGATTTCAGGATGATTTCACAACCCTCACTGTCATCCAACCAAGGAGGGGAAAAATAAAGGAAAGTTTTTGTTAGTAAATGGTTCTTTGTCAGCTCAAAAAGAGGGAAGCAGGATCCTCAAAGGTAAAGACTGAGCAGGTAAACACTTCAACCATCTCCAAAATGTTAACCAAAGAACATACTAATAAATTCTACATGTATTTTCTGTGTGTATTGTTTTACTCTCATACTTTTCTGTACTTAAAAATTTTCTACACTAGATATATTCAGAATAGAAAACTAATTTCATATTTTCTGGGTTACATAAACATCTAAAATTAATTGGGAAAAGCTAAATGAAAACATACACTACGAGGAGTCCTAAAGAACAAGAAAATGAAGGAAATACTCCTGAGAAATGTGAAGATATTTGCTTACTAGTTGCCTGTCCAAACAAAAGGGCCCTACATAGACAGCTGAAGTTAGGGAAGCTGCTCTGCATGGCGTGCATTCCAGCCTAAGAGAGGCTGCATCAGAAGAAAACAGTACTATTTTTTGAGAAGCTTTATATTCTTTGGAACTCTAACCTTTCTCTTTATCTGAAATTTTGAAAAATCTTGGATACCTAAGTTAATATTTCAGATGGAGAGGACATTTTTTCTCCCTTCATTTTTCATTTCAAATATTAGCACACAGGGCGGAATTTTTACTTCTTAGACTTGGTGTCCAGCTCTCAACATCTTAACCTGGCAGAAGGACCAAACTAGCTGTAAATCTTACCACTCAGACCACACTTGATTATTGTATGATGGGAAAATTAAATGTGAATAAAACAGCTAGAGTGTTAGGGTGTTCTTGGAAGAATAAACACAAGTTGGAAGTTGCATGTGGATAGTCAGAGTACAGGAAGGCAATCAGTCAAGTAAACATCACTTGGTAAGGAAGCCATTGCAGTCTTCCAGGCGCTCCCTGCAGTGAATGGCTTATTCCATTTGTTTTCCCTTTCACTCAGTCTAGAAAAGAATTCTCAAATTTCCAACAGATCTCTAAAGATTTTTAAGTCCATATTCCTGTTTAAAGATAACATTTTGGACAGACTGGCTCAGGCTACTGAAGAGCAGTTTTAGTTTCTAGAAGATGAACAGAATTATGTTATAATCCATATCCTCTCACTTTTCTCCTCCTTCCACAACAGGAAACTGTTAAGGCAGCAATAATAGAAGAACAGAAGCGAAGTGAAAAGGCTGTGGAAGAGGCAGTGAAAAGAACAAGAGATGAATTGATAGAGTATGTAAAAGAACAGAAAAGGGTGAGTGTCCCCAGGAGGGCTTTCATTTGTGAACTGAAGTGTTGACTCCCAGTCAGTCTTCAAATATTTAAATGTTCCTTGTCATCTAATTTAGGAATCTCCACCCATGATTTCTCTGCTATCTATTACATACTGTAATAGATGTCTATAAACAAAAATCCCATGTCAACCAAAAGGTAAGTGAATAACTTATGACCAGATTCTTAGAAATCTGGTCCTATAGCATTTCCCACTTAAATTTACAGTTCTAGATTTTTTTTCCATTTATTAATTTTTTGTATGTGTCCCTTACATTTGGTGTTACCACTGTAGTTGTTTTGGAATTCATTTCAGAAACTTATTCCAGGATATGCTTGTCAGAATTTGGATTGTGTATTTTTGAGGCTTTACAAAATAAATATCATCTCAGTACAATGTGGTTTTATTAATTGTAAGCAATGACTGGATATCATGGGTCAAACTTGATTTGTAGTCTTTTCAAAAGAACATGTTTTCTTAAGTATAATACAAAAAAAGAAACACTTTAAATGATTAACCTCTATAATAGATGTGTTACATAATAAATTATAGAGCAAATGTTTTAGTGTTTTATATTTAATGTAATACACTTCAGAATCATAAGAGATTATATATACTAATATTAAATTTGATAAAATATAAATAAGTTTTACCATCTATGTTATATGATGTAGCATTATCATAAAAATATGGCTCAAAGGGTTAAGTCTCAGCACTATGAAGCTATCTGTAGCCACTGCCACTCGGGTTCTATCCCTGCCAGGAAGGTGACCCACATGGCACAGCAGACTTCTGCCTCACCCTCTGATCCCCTGAGCAGTATATTTTAGTACATATGCCTGTTCTGCTCCCCACTATCTCTCGTGAATCTTCTCACTCTCCATATCCTGGCCTGTATCCCAGTTCTTGTATTATCTTTTTTAAAAACATAAGCATAAGGCTAGATATGGATCAAGAGCTTCATCATAACAATTTAGTCCTATACTCTTAATTTGAAGTCAAGTTTGGTATGAAAATGCTCACTCTTCAGTAGTTACCACTAGGTTTTGACAAAGGAATATTTTACCAGAAGAATAAAGTATTACTAACTAGTCTTTTCAGATGAATTAACAGCTACTGAAGCAGTCTGAGTGAACTTTAATCTTTGTACATACACCTTATCTCAAAGTGTTTTTAAATGATTTCTCCCAAATTCTTGATAGATGCCTTACCTTCTAAAGAAAAAATCAAGAGCCCAAAATAGTTGACTTTTCAGAAAGTGATACAGTCTCAGAAAACTCCCATTTCCATATGTAGACCCAAAGAGCTTATTTTTAAACACTCTGGCTTGAAAGTAGTCATGGCTAGGGAATCATAAGGCTTCCACTTATATTCAGGAATTGCAGTAGAGAAAAAAACACTGACTTGAAGTAAATTCACCAAGTTTCCTGGGTTATCCCTTTGTATCTAGTTTTTTTTAACAGTAGTCAGTACTATTTGAGCCCAAATCCTGATAACAAAACAAACTCATTCATTGGACTTTTTGGACTATCTTTCATAAAAAATGGAATCTCAAACTGCTAAAAATGGAACTTCCATATGACCCAGCAATGCCACTCCTAAGTATCTACCCAAAGGACACAAAATCATTGATTCAAAAGAACACCTGCACCCCTAGTTTTTTGCTGCTCTATTTACAACAGGGAAGATGTGGAATCAATCCAAATCTCCAAAAATAGATGACTGGATTAAGATGTGGTATATACATACAGTGGAATATTACTCAGCAATCAAAAAGATAAACTCATGCCTTTTGAAACCATGTGGATGAAATTGGAAAGGATCATGCTTAGTGAAATAAGCCAGAAAGAAAAGAAAAATAGTGGGTGGTTGCACTAATACCAGGAGCGTAAGGGATCAGGAAAAAAAAAAGCAATTGTAATAAAGCAAAAATGAAAAACAATGAACAAGTATAAACCAGAGACATTTTATGGGGGTGGAGAAGGGAATAGGAGGAATAGGATCAAAACTGAGGCAGGAAGAACGCATGGGACTAATGGGACTATGGTGATGAATGGGTTAACTGGTGGTAGGAAGTCCATGGGAAATACAACTGAGATGAAAAATGCACAAAATGAAGAATGATATCTAACAAACAAACAAAAACCATGAAATCATATTGCTTTTCCTTAGTGAAGAGTTGTATAGCCACTATAAGAAACATTTAAAGTAAGTACAAGCTGGATTGACCCATGGACGACCATCGTCTTCAATTCCCTATCTAGAATTTATAATGATTCAAGAGATGAAACACAAATTTCAGTTTGGTTCCCTGTGTGAGGTCAGCTAATCTTAAAAGAGCAATGATGGTGAACTCTGCCCTTTACTCAGCATTTTCTGGGGAACCATATTAAAGGGTTAGTGTTCACTTGTATGAGTCTGGAACTGTATAGCACGTGCTCATGAAGAAACAATAAATTCATGAAGGCCTTAGATTTGTAATACCAGAGTTCAACTTCCCTGTGCCTGTTTGGTGGGTAAGGAAGGAAATTTAACACCTAAATACAGGACTCATTAAACACCTGCTGTGATCACTTTTACCTTCCCTGTATTATAAAAAAAAAAAAAAAACCCTTCAACTCCCAGTAGCATTCTTTTTGCTAATTTAAACTGTGCTATTCAGATTTATATTTGGCCTTCCATTTCTTTTGAAGTTCACAATGTGATAGTAAAGTTTTTTCCACACTTGTTACTAGATTCACAGAAAATTACAACTGATTTGATCCTTGTATTACCCCCACCTTGGGATTTGGGAATTTTTTAAACAACACATATTATGGGATGCTTTTAATATTTGATTCTCTTTCTCTGAACAGAAATCATACAGGGAAAGTAGTTAAAATATCTGAAATACAAGCATCAACTGATTACTAGACTTTTTAGTATAACTTAAAAAATTAAGATTCATTGTAATCTCTGCTATCCCAAAATGGATTTCAGTGTTTTAGTTTTTATGAATATCTTTGGACTTCAAAAAAATTTCACAAAAATTTAAGCTACCTAATAGCTTTTAAGTATGATATTTAGAAAAGAACAAGATTTTTTTTAAAAGGAAATTCATAATCTTCTTGTTTCCTTCCAAAAGACTAAATTAGGACAGCTCATCTCCTTCCTTTGTGAAATGGGTTTCTATTTGCATTAGACAAGAACACTTTTCCAGAACAAAAATTTTCCTTTCTCCTCTCCAGCTTTTTTAACTAGAGAGTCAACTTGAGATTTTTTACATTGGACACCTCAATAGTCCAATAGACCTTGCTTCCAAGTGGCCTTACATTTCATTCTGTGAGGAAACTTTCCCTCTTGAATTTTTAAAAAATCTTTGAAAGAAGAAGTGTAATGTGTTAGTTCCTGTCACTATGTCTTTTGTCCTAAGCAGTCTTTCCTTTGACATTATCTTACCCTTACTAAATTCACTAAAAGACTGAAATGAGTACTGTGTTCCCCTACATCTTCTCTTTTATTTTTTTTAAGATTTATTTATTTATTCATATGGAACTGAGACACAGACCAGAGATGGGGAGGTGAGAGGATTCACCAGAGACAGAGAGGGGAGCAGAACAGGCAGATGGACGAAGTACACTGCTGAGGGGAGCAGCGGGCAGGTCAGGAGAGGTCTGCCACACCATGTGGATCTCCTCCGGGGCAGGCGGGGATCGAACTCATGCGGAAGTTGCTTAAGCTTCTCAGTGCTGTGCTTTAACCCGCTGCACCACCAGGGAGGGCCCTTTCAATTTATTCTTAAAAGCGAAAAGGAATGAAATATAATTTACAATTTAGCCTGTAAAGTATTTTTCATTCCTGTGTTTCATATAAAATGCAATGAAATCATAAGTCACCTGTCTGCTGCTACATGTTTTTTAGTAAGTTATTTAATCTAAATTTTTAGTAAGTTTTTAGTACTACAAGCATACTTAGAAGTAGAATTAAGATTATACTAAAATTAAAATGAAAATATACTGAGACATATTTTACTTTAAAATGTCATATACCAGTCCTCTTGTATCAGATCAATAGAAATGTCACTAAATTTTCTAACTACCCTCTGTTCATCTGATCTAAACATCTTGGACTTGACAAAGATAATTAAGTGAATTATAATTCACAATCAACTTGCATCCTAAATTATTTACTAAGCTGGTTGCATAGTACTTGTCATAGTAATATCCAAATATGAAAATACTCAAATAAGACCAGGGAAATAATTCAATTAATAACAAATTAATAATTCAAATTAATACATTTTTAAGCACAGATTAAATAAATTGAATATACTGAATTCACAAATACGGCATATAATTGAAATGCTAATATTTTACAGCTTCAGGTCTTAAACTTTCCGTATTTGTAATTTTTTAATTTGAAAGTCTCCATAATAGTGTGTATAATAGATAATATATAAAATAGAGTATACTCTGTACAAGAGAAGTAACAGTCTGTATAAAAAAGATTTTAAACTATATTTACTTTGAGAACAAGCTGGTTATGTGCAAGTATAGTGAGCTTACATCAGGAAACCATACCATTTTTTTTTAACTTACAATTTTATTTTCAAATTGTCTTCAATCAATAAATTCTGGACAATGGGTTCTAAACTATGGACTCAGGGTCAATAGTTCGCTGTTTGCTTTTGTAAATAAAGTTTTATTGAAATACATAGTCACATCCAAACTCTTATGGATTGTCCTTTAGCTGGTTTCATGTGCCTCAGCAGAGTTGAGTAGCTGGGAGAGACCAATGGAACCGCATAATCTAAAATATTTCTATCTGGCCCTGTACAGTAAGATCTGTCATCCCCTGTTCTAGGTCATCAAAATTATCTTGTGGGGAAATCTTGTTGCTGTCAATCCTTCAAAATACTTACTGTTTGGTTATGCCTCACTAACGAGACAATTCAAATGCCTCCAGAGACTATTCCAGAAAAGATTACTCTCTTGATAGTAATT